GGGTGCCCCGTCTCTGAGTCAGTAAATCCTTCCTCAGAGGAATCGGCCAAGGAGGGGCTGTCGCGAGGAGCATTAGTTCTGGGAACCAGGTCCGGGAAGGCCAATAGGGTGCCACCAGCAGGACCTGCTCCTCGTCCTCCCTGACCTTGCACAGCAACTGTGCCAGAAGGCTCACTGGGGGAAATGCATACTTGCGAAGGCCCCGCGGCCAGCTGTGTGCCAGTGCGTCCGTGCCAAGTGTTCCCTCGGTCAGGGCGAAGAACAACTGGCAGTAAGAGGTTTCTGGAGAGGCAAACAGGTCTACCTGAGCGGCTCTGAAACGTCCCCAAACCACCTTCACTGTTGTGAAGCGGATGCCACTGAACTTGGGGGGGGACGCCGGGCGACTGAATCGCATAGCCAAGCCTGACTGTTCGAAGGAGCCATCCAGACGGGCTGGGTAGCTCAACCAGGCTCCCAGACACCGCGCTATTGGCATCAACGGAACTACAGGCGTACCCGCAGTGGGGCATCGCGGAAAAATGCAGGGACCCGTCCCGGGCGTCTCGTAACCGGTCCGAGGTGGGGTCTGGTGTGTGTAACACTGACCTGCGTTCGAGCAGAGGGTGCGTGGGTAGTCCGTTGGTTCGTCCTCCCGATCCGCCCACTGCTGCTCACTGGCGAGAGAGGAGGGTGAGTGTGATACGCACTAGATCGTCCACAACCCCCATCCCCTCTGGGGACCCAGAAATAGAGGAATTGCTCTTTGTCAAGAATTTGGGTACCCTGACCGAGAGGTCAGTGGTGGAAAAATATGAAAAGATTCTCCACCCGGCCCTCCTCCGGGGGAGGGAGTGGTGTGCTTACTATCTCCTGAAGAGCACGTCCCTCCACCTCTGGGTCGCCCGTCTCCGGGCCTCTTGCTGTCTCGCTTGCCACCAGGTTGGAGGGGGCCTGGACGGGCGGGGCGGCTGCCCTGCGACCGGCTCCACGGCACAGCTTTGCTGTGTTCTCCACCGTGTCAAGAATCGTGTCTTGTCCGTCTCACACATGTCAGCCAGCCAGAAATGGCACTCCCGGACCACCATAGTGGACATCGCACGACCTACAGACCGCGCTGTAACCTTCGTCGCTCATGGCGCGAGGTCCGCCGCGGTGCGGAGTTCTCTCTGAACTTCCAGGTCGTGACCACCCTCGTGCAAGTCCCTCAGTGCCTTGGCCTGGTGCACTTGCAATCACGCCGTAGCGTGTAAGGTGGAGGCAGCTTCTCCACCAGTCGTATAGGCATCGCTGGCCAGTCGAGTACCTACAGACCGGGGAGGGGAGGCACGGTTCTCCCTGCCGGTTGGAGGCGGTATTAGGACACAGCTTTTTTTTTTGTCTGCATCGCAACCGACTGCTCCACTGGGGGGACCCTAGTAACCCCCTAGCTGCCCCACCATCGAGGGTGGTGAGGGAGGAGGATCCAGCAAATCAGTTTCCGGCAGTAAAAAGGTGCCATCCACGACCTGTTGAGCTCCTCATGCACCTCCGGGAAGAAAGGCACCAAGGTGGGGCGCTGAGAACCAGCGCGGACCACCCCGAGAACCGATCGTGCAACCTTGAGGGCTCGGGACACGGTGAAAGTCTTCACTCGAGCCCTACCCCTACGGCGGCCCGGGAAAGCATAGCCATTATTTCTGGATCCGATTCAGGCATTGCTACGGTCCCGGAGGAGAGCAGCGCAGCCGAATCTTCCTCTCCAGAAAGCTCTGGCTCACCCTCCGATGCTGCAATCGACATCCAATCATCGGTGGGAGCCTCGGAATAAACAGGTGGTACCCCCCGGGAGGGTCCAGCCTGCTGGACAGGGGAGATGATCATCTGCAACACAAACAGGGGGTAGTGCAGCCTTATGTGTGCAACCCACTTGACATGGGAAACCACCACCGCTGAAGCGCCGTCCGCCAACACGAAGAGCTCTCCAAGAGCACGCTGAACTCGTTCAGTCTTCTTCTCTCAGTAGAGTAGTCGGGAGCAGAACGATGTGATCGCTCGGCTCCGAAGCAAAAAGTTGAATATTCGCTGCATCTGCTTCCTACTTATACTCACGCTGTGATCAGCAGCAGCTGGATGAAATAATCGCATGCCAATGTGCATTGGCTCATTTAGTTTACACTCGAAGTAGATTGGTCCCTCTAAGCGAGATCCCAATTTCATCGGTCATCTGACGTGACGTCGAGAGTGACCGACTGAAAGGGAACTAGAGTATTTCTACAATTGTGATGAATCAGGTCAAAAGTGTTTAAAACAGTTATAATTTATTTTGAAGTTTTGCTTTCTGCATTATCTATGCAAATATTAAAATCCCCTGCAATAGCAAAACAGTCAAACTCTGTGGAAATCATTGATAGCATTTCTGTGAACTCTTCAACAAAGGCTGGAGAGTATTTTGGAGGCCTGTAAATAGTGATGAACCGAATGCGTGGATCACCTTTCAACACAATCCCTAGATATTCAAAAGACAAGTACTGACCAAATGACACTTGCTTGCATTGATAGACATCTTTAAATAGAACAGCTACACCTCCACCTCTCCTAACAGTCCTGCAAACAATGTGTCTGGTGAGCAGGGATGTGGCTCTGATGTTTTACGGTGGCAGAAATATGTTGTCCTGGCTTCCCTGGCTGTTTTCCAGAAAGTCGTCCTTGGGTGCTGAGTCTTGGAGCTGTTCTGATACATCACAGTCTGTCTGTGATGAGCTCTGTGGGCAGGGCTCAGCCGGGATGGTGTCCATGAGCAGTGCTTGTTGTGGCTGCGAGGTGTTTTCAGAGTCCTTGTGGGATGTGTTAACCACATGATGACCCGGAAGCTGATATAAAATCCTGTCGTCACTCTGTCCAGGTGTGTGTGTGCCATTCAGGTTGAGTAGTTTGACACACACTACTGAAGGATGATGGAGGGAGAAGTAGATGTTGTCCTTTAGCACTATTGCACCAAGTTTGTTTGGGTGGAGGCCATCCAGTTTAAACAGTTGTCTATGGCCCAAGAAAAGATTGAAGTTGTTGATTAAATTGACTCCTTTTAAGCTGCAGATCCACTGAAGTCTTTCTTAAGGAGTTCTCACTGCTCTTTCCAAACATCATTCTTCCCCACATGGATAATGATTCGATTTGTCTTGTGCTTCATCAGAATTTTCCAAAGTTCCTTGTTCATATCAGAAACTGTTGCTTGAGGAAATCAGCATGTTGTTGTATTTCTGATACTGATGTTTCTGATAATGGAGTCACCCACTATTAGTGTCCTGGGCTCAGCTGCACTCTGAGCTGAAATCCGCTGTCTGCTTGACCTTTATCGCCTGTTAGTAGCGATGTTAGCTGCTGGCTGGTCTGATCCATGTTTAATCACATTTGGGGATTCCTCACCCGCATTCATTATTGCTTCAAATCTGTTCTCAAGATGTATAGGGGGTGGTAGAATATCAGTATTCACAAGCCTTGTCATAGCCGAATCTTGGGTAGAGGATGCTACGGCAGCAATACGAGAAACTTGTGACAATCTGATGTCTCTACTGCCTTTGGGACTCGCTCCCTGTTTGTGCCATCAATTAGTGTGACAATCAGTTTCGGCTTGTTCCTCTACACTTGGTATAAACTGTTGAGATTCACTAGATTCATGGGACTCACCGGCTATATGCTGAGGGGGTCCATGATGACGGTAGAGTGTTCTGCCTGTTTTGGAAGTCCAGCAAGTAACTTTGTTTCAAGAAACGCAATCCTTTGTATAAGTTTGCAGCAGTTCATGCAGCAAGTAGATTAAAAAGGAGGCATTTTCTTTTTTTTCTGTTTGAATGTGGGCAGCTGTGTTTTCCCTTCTTCGGAATATAAGCTGCTGGCAGTGGGAGGCAAATTCTTATTTTTCCGTGGTATTATTCCAGTCCCAAAGAGTTTTTAGTTTTAGTGTCTGTGCCAAAAAATGTGTTGTTTGAGCACTGTGCTGATCTGCTGAAGTAAAAATCTTTTTTTTTTAAATTTGAGAATAGTACAGAAATAGTGGGCAAAGCGCAGAGCAGTAAGCAAGAATGTCCGAATGGTAGCGAAGCCGGAAGTATCCCTTTTTTTATTTAATTAAAGTTTTAGTAATTTTGTTGTGTTTTTATCATTTTTGCCACACACACGCAGTTTATTATGTTACACTGTTTTAATTAATTTTTATTTGGGTATAGTTTTTTGTATTATTTTAATGTTGTCTGACAACTATCTAAAATAAAAAGTGTCACTCTTTTTTATTTTGTTTCAAGTAACAAAATTTGTTTTATGGTTTTAGTGATAGTTTACCATGTATATTTCATTAATCATGACATTTTAAAGTAGAAAGACTGAAATGTTCAAATAATCTTTATTTAATTTACAACTTCAATCAACCAATCAATCAATAGAGTAGTGTAGATATTTATATTATAAAATTATACTAGCTTAAATGTTAAATGTACAGAGTTAAACCGAGTTAAACGTATTTAATTAATCTCACAAGTTAATCAATTTACTTTGCCAGGCGTATTTAATATCTGAATGAAATCTAAAGAAATTCAATTTAAAACAAAGACATGCGTATTTTTTCATCTTACATTATTCTCATGTTCAGTCACACCATTTACATTCTAGCACCTTTATAAAGCTGCTGATATTGTCTCTACGACCACAGCTGCCCCTTCTGTTTCAAATGATGTATGGAGGCCAAGCAAACTATAGACAACCTGTCCAATGGAATGATGCTAGAGAAAACACCATGGCTGTAGGTTATTGTCATGCTTCACTTCAATTAGGGATGTGTACAGTCAAGTGGGGATGTTCATCCTTGAATCAAGGTGCCACATCCAGATGCCTTATTCATTGAAATTCATAGTATGTATAGATTAAAGGCCTGTGATCCGTTGCATTGCCATGTGTGTTCTTGATGGAATGCAGCAACTTACATGCTGAAAGACATCAGTTTGTTCATGGAATATTGTTTTGTATTTTTAGAGTAATCAAGTAATTACCTTTAAAACATATTTAATTATTTTTTATACGTTTTTTATTTTTGTTATTTATTATTTCTTATATGATTTTATAATTTGTATATTATTTTTTTATTGTTCTTTAACTAAACATTAACATATAAACAATCAGTCAGTAACTAGGCTACACTGAAAGTCTCACAGTTGTAAGCTGTTTGATTCGCTAACAGAATGACTCATGAGTCACTTGTGCTGTATGTTTTTGATCCAGTTAAAAATAAGTGGCTCATAAAAGTCATTCATTAAAGAATCAGACTACACCTATTACGTTGTATGTTTTTATTTCAGTAAAAAGAACCAGATCGTAAGAGGCATTTGTTTGATAATCAGACTACACTTGTTTTGCTGTATGTATTTGATTCAATAAAATAACTGGCTCATAAGAGTCATTCATAAAAGAATCAGACTGCACGTATTACGTCATATGTATTTGATTCACTAAAAATAACCACCTCACAAGAGTCAGTAATTTGAAAATGTGTTGCGCTGTAGGTTTTCAATTCTCTATTCACTGTTGAATAACAATAACATATTACATTTATTTTTTAATACTACTGTCAAAACACTTAAGTGTTTCTAAATGTTAATTTTAGTGAATACAAACACTGACGGTCTCACAGTTGTAAGCCGTTTGATTTGCTAAACGAACTGGTTCATAATCGTCATTTCTTTGTGAATCAGACTATACTTGTGCTGTATGTATTTAATTCCCTTTAAAGAAATGACTCATGAGAGTCATTTGTTCAGGAATCAGACTACACAAGTTGCGCTGTATATATTTGATTCACTATAAAGTGCCGACTCACAAGATTCAGTCCTTCGGCAATCAGACTACACTGATGGTGATATCGGTTTCACTCAGTAGCGGTGTTTCAGTCCAATTAAACAGCAGTTGCATATTTTAGTACAACATTCTGTCCATGTCAAGAAAAGAAAGAATGCATGCACAAGAGCAGAAAGACATGCATTCATTGCTTAGACTACTGAAACAAAAAGAACGGGTTACACTTTATTTTGATAGTCCACTTTAGACATTCTACTAACTATAAGTAACTTTGTAACTACATGTCAACTACATGTCAACTAATTCTCATTAATTTGCAACTACATGTCTACTATCTCTCAGAGTAGACTGTTAGGGTAGGTTTAGGGTTAGTAGAATGTTGACAAAGAAAGTGTTAGAAGATATTACGCAGACAGTCTACTAATACTCGACTAACTGCTAGTTGACTTGTAGTTGCAAAGTTACTTGCTGTTAATAGAAAGTCTAAAGTGGACTATCGAAATAAAGTGTTACCAAAGAACGTATGCATAATGTGTAGCTGCCACATGTATTTACAGACCAAGTGTCACCTAGTATTTTGATTAGGCTAATATCAATATTTATTCAGTTCAGATAAAGCATGCCACAGAAAATACCTCATTCAGTCCAATTCATCACAACTCAATTTAAATGTATGTACTCAAATACCTAATATGCTTGACACTGCAGGCCCACAGTGGTTTTACACAAGTTAGAAACTATTACAGTTGTGTCTGTGCAGTGGGCTATAAAATGACCCAAGACATTACTGTGTTTCCAACTGAATCACTATTGACTGCTGTGAATTGCTCTCCCTCACGAGCCTATTCACAAATATCAATTATGTGGTTCTGTGTGAAAAGCCTTAATAAGTAATGAAAAGACAAGCGGGTGATTCACAGTGCTATAGTGAATGTCTGCAAACTATAACATTTTACTTGATTTCTCTGCTGAGCTCTTTGGATCTCAGATATTTGTATTTTAATACTAAAGGTTTAATTTTTTTTAGTAAGGACTAAAAGATAACATGACATATTAGCTGTCCTAATACTAACATAATGCCATAAAACCACACTCTTAATGCTGTTTACATACATACTGATGAAGTTATTAAAGACATGTTCATCATAATGTGTATATATGAGGAGTCGAACGAGACAGAGAGGTGTGTGTGTATACTGTAAGTGTGTTTGTGTGTATGTGTGTTAGTTTGGCCACTTGAGGCTGTCGTATGATACATAATTAGGAAACACGGTTTTACCATCAGCATTCTACTTTGTGCTTGACCCTTTGCTCTTGATGAATGGTTCAAGTCTCCAACATGACACATGAGCAGAGGATCATCAGTGTTAGCTGAATTACATTCAGTGAGGTAATTAATCATAACACACGGACCTAATCCTGGTTTAATTAGCGGTTCGGTCCAGCGTCGGTATTCATGGAAGGGCAATAGAGGTTTGAGAGGGACCTTCAGGGCAATAAATAAGTTTGTTGATTTTAATCATTGTGTTTTCAAATCTATCTATCAGACATCATTAAAATAACTTTTTTTAAATCACTCACAGTCATTTGTAAGAAAATGGCCCAGCATGCATTGATTTCACAGTACATTTCTAACTACAGTAATGTACTGTAAAATAATTATCTTTAATCCTGTAAATTTCTGGCAATTATTTTTTTTCCAGTGAATACTAACCATGTTTTTTTGGTTTTATTTTTATCGTATACCATGGCTACTTTTCGTAAGGGGGTTATGAAAATAAACATCATAAAACATGAATAAACTAAAAATGAGCGGGAAACAGTGTAAAACATAAACAGAGTCAATGAGGGTGTATTAAATATAAAAAAATAATAACTTTTTTTTACTCCTATGGTCTATTTTTTCGCTTTTGTTTTAATTTTTTTACTTAAAATTATAATTTTTACTAAACATTAATGTGCCCTCATTGACAAATATACACAAAAAAGTTTGATATGCAACATAATACAATGTCAAGTGTAAGTGGTGTTATTAGTGTTATGCTCAGTATTTTCAGTTTGTGTTACTAGTATAAATCTCGGCATTCTATTCACCTTCTGATGAGAGTTTTTTTTTTTTTCTCTCTATCTCTCAAGTATTTTATCATTGAAATCCACAGTGTGGTTTTAACAGCCTTTGAAAGCTCTCATGTAATCTAACCTCTAATGCACCAATTTAATCAACATATCTTTACAAATATGCTTTCAGCGTGTTTTTACTGTTTCATTGCATTGCATTTACGTTCACATTTTAAAGAAATCACCATAGTAGCCATTCGGTTCAGAGCTATTATATCTAATGCATTGAACTCGGTCACAATGACAGGAAGTACATGAAGAGACTGCCGAGCTGCTTTCCACAATAACTGCAAAATGGAACTGATTTTATCAGCAGTTCAAAGGGGAGGGTGTTGTAAATGTCATCTCTCACTTCTTAAGCCATTCATCAACTTTCTATATATAATTTGCATCTTTTCTGTCTTTAAAATACATTTGTTCCAGGTTTCTTATACTCTTATGGACTATAGAATGTATGTGAAAAAAGGTGAAATAAGGCTCCTGAAATATCAGTTGTTTTTTGAGTATGAGAATATGACTCAGGGGAGATGGGAATTTTAGTGATATCGATCTACGTTCGCTGTAAGGTTTCACCCTCAGAATATCTCTTAAAGGGTAAGGTTCCCCAAAGATTTTGGTTTGATTTCATCTGGCGTAGGCACTTGATGCTATTATTAGCAAAGCACTGTGCATTATACATTAATGCACAGCTTAGGAGAGTGACTACTGAACATATGGGGCTTAATTTAACAGGTCTGACAGGACAAAGACGTATTTGAACAAGGTTAAACTGAAATATGGATAGAAAGACAAAAAAACAAAGTACACAAATCTAAATGTCACTTATGTCTCAAATAAGAAATACCAGAAGGGAGTTGCTGGAAAAGAATAAGAGCCCCTCTTCAAACATTTACAGTATTTCATGAATAAAACATTCCAGGATGTGCTGCTTTGAAATATAAATGGTGTTTTATACATCTTTCACTATGTCTGTAGCACAAACATTTTTTAAGCAGAAAGCAGTGACTTATAACTTGTCATATACTGCCATCTTATGTTCATGAGTTAATAGTGCACACTTTGTGTTTATTCAGACCTTGAATGTACTTGTGCATATGTATTATTTTGCCTCTTTGCATCAACATGAAGAACCCAATGAATTGATCAGTGAATTGTCTTAAATGATTAATTTTATATTATGCACACTGTTTTGCTAACTGTTTTTAATAAACATTTATTGTTATGAGCATATTGTTCACCAGGGAACCAATGACATATTGTGGCTTGAAATATACCACTTCAATATACCGCAAAACATTCATAAATTGGGTATTCATTTATTTATTTATTTGGGTATTCGTTTATTTATGTTTTATACAGAAAAACGACTTCAGTTTTGAACTTTTGGACATGAAATCTGTTATAATCATGCACTTAGTTTTAATTAAATACATGCTGATTTAGGAAACCAGTATGCAAAACTATTAACCTGGCATGGGTTTTATTGAAAAAATTAATTGTACATGCATGAACAGCATCAGAAGTATGATTTATACCAGCCATTAGACTTTGATTGGATGCACAGACTCCGTGACATCAACCACAAAACATCTGCTAAGCCTTTTCTCCTCACTTTAAAAAGCTAATTAGCCTATTTTAAAATAAGCCTGTCCCATGCACTATTATATGGTTAATTGGCTTTTTTTATGTTTAACATTGTTTCTATCCCAGCTCTCTGTTATATCAGAATAGAACTACAATCAATAAGTTGAAAACCACTGGCCTAAACATAATGCATCCATATCAGAAAACTCAGCCAATCAAAAAGGTACAATGCAATACAAAATTGTGAGAGATACAAACAAGAAAAAGCATAGATTGATTGGAAATTTAATTAAGCTCAAGCAGTGTCTGAATGACCGTTAACCCTTCAGTTATGACACGTATTGTTGGATCTATTGGATAATTTTTGTTTGGACCAGTGGTTCCCAATTCCAGTACTGGGGCCCCCCTGCTATGCACATTTTGCATTTCTCCCTTATTTAACACACCTGATTGAGATCATCAGCTTATTAGGAGAGAGATCCATGGACTGAACTGAGTGTGTCAGATAAAGCTGGGCTCACACTACAGGATTTTTGGCTGGATTTTGCTGTCACAGACAGATTTCCACAGTCTGCGACAAAACCCCCTGATCGTGACCAAATCGGTGCTCGTTGCGGTCGCCGAAGCTCGTTAAGTATCGGCAACGTGATCCGAACCTGTCTCAAGCTATCACAGACGCTACGATATTTTCAAACCTGTTTGA